TTCATAAAACCATGGGAAACATCATCGACAATATTGTCAGTACTCCATAGAAGGCGGCCTTGAGGATCACGAAGCACCAGCCCACTTTGTGCATCAATCTCCACCCTGGAATCCCGTGAAATAGGATTTGTAACGTTTGGATACCATACTACGGTATTACCTGGTATTTTATCATACCATATAGCAAGTTGAAACATATCACTGTTTTGAAGTTTCTGAAACCCAAATGCGAAATCTCCAGAAGGTGAAAGCCATGGAGCGGACCTCTCTGTTGCAACGAGAGAGGTGCCTACACTTATGTTACCACTGTTTTGAGAAAAAGTGCACAGTGGGAGGAGAAATATTATCAAGAAGATAAAGATGAAGTTAAAGAGAGCATAAGCCATTGTTACTTGTTAAGAGCAAATTTGGCACATAAAAATATGAAAAGAAGATTCCACAGTATAAAGGATAGGAGATGATTGTTTCTTGATTCAAGACTATCGGGTCAACTCATACTTTTCAAGGTGTGCTTTAAATTTTGTCCCTACGCGGAAAACTTTTCAAGACCTGTATATCTACCATACGTCTTGGACCTTGTTTGATACCCGTTTTCTATAAAATTATAATTTATTATGTGGCAAAATGGAAATCATGATACATACCAAACATGACTGTCGAATTTTCAAGGGAAAATGTGGACTTTCAAGTCCTTGGATTGCGTACAATTATAGTTGGACCAATTCAACTTATTTCCTCAACAGTTAAACAAAATATGTTCTAACCAGCAAAAACACAAGTTTTTATAACATTACTTGAGATTAAGAAGATAAGGATCCAAATTGGTACGACATATTTCATGTATTCACGGACGACCCGGCATAAAGTTTTTATCTAAATTTTTATATATACAAAGCGAAAAATATCCATTTTTAATTGTTTTTCCCCTATGAAATCGGAAATGTCTTCTTCTATAATCAGTATACGTATAATTTTATTAAAGTTTGTTTGAGCCTCATTTTTTTTAGCAAAAATGTATTTTGCAATAGTTTTATAACTAATAATATAAAATTAAAAAATAAGAAAAAAAATTTGGTTATTATATAATATTATTTTATTGAAAAACGTTTAATTGTACTAAGATTAAATCACTATTCAATAATGCATTTTGATTTTAAAAAAAAATGGCACTCAAACAATGGTTAAAAATGACTTTCACCATTTCAAAGCAACCTTCCATTTCCTTGTCATTTTGTCACAATTCCTTCTTTTCAATTTTATGACTTCTACATTCTTCGTTTTCCTTTTACCATTTCTATGATGAGTAATATTATTCATTCCCATTGGGGATGAAAACACAATTTACGTGGCGTCAATGTGGCATTAAATAATATGTGAAATTAAATAACTCATTTAATTTCACATTTCATCTAACTTATCATTTAAAATCACATAGACTTTGTTTTCATCCCCACTAGGGACGAATAACATTACTTTTCGACGAAACCTCTCATTTCCATGTCATTTCATTGTGGTCCCTTCTTTTGAATTTATGACTTTTTTGTTCTTCCTTTTCCTTTTACCATCGCCACGCAACCTCCCATTTCCCGGCCATTGTTGCAATTCTTTTTTTTTTTTTTTAAATTATGACTTTTGCATTCTTTCTTTTCCATCCCCACTTAGCTGTATATACAGTCGGTCCTGAGAATTTTGATGCCCTAAACGACTAATTATTATGATGCCCTATAATTTTATTTTTTCACATGTATAGCAATATTT